GGTCAAAAATTCCCATAAACACACTCCTAAACCTTGTGGACAGCCTTCCCAGAAGAGTTGAAGCTGTTCTAGCTGCAAAGGGTGGACCGACGTCATATTGAACCCTATGGATTAGGAACGGAATGTCACTTAAGCTCATATGTGAGTCAAGGCAGGTGAGCAAATACTTTTGGCAATATAGTGTATATATATATATATATACACAAAAAGAAACAATCTGATTTTCATGCTGCTTTCTTGGCTTTGTGGAGGAGAAAATATTCTGATCACAAGGATGAAATCTGTCTTTTTTATCAGGCAGACATGCAATGATAGGATTGAAATGTGAACCCAATGATTGTGCCATTTCTCTCTAAGAAATACTCAGTGCTACGCTGCTGCCTAGTGTGAATGATACCAGCAAATAAATGCTGCTGCAGAATGTCTTAATGTTTCCTAAGGATCTAAAATAGGTTGTAAATAGGTTTGTGTCGATCATCATTTTACAACATTATGCTGCTTAGTGCATGTATTTCTCTTTTTGCTTTCTATGGTGGGTTAAAGTAAAAAAAGAACCGAAATCGATGTTAAACGTTTTGTAAAAAGCAAGTATGGTTTCTGTTTAGGTATCTCATTTGCTTTTACAGTCTGTCAAAGTGTCGAACAATCCCAGAAGGCTCTCATCATGTTCATTTAGCTAGAACAGAGACTGGAAGGACTTGCAGCTGTTTCAGGCTTACAGTGGCAAAACTGTGAACGTGTAACTGGAATACACAATGCAACCATAAAACTGAGGAACTGTTTTAAGCATTGTTTGTGATAGTGATGGCGAGATGAAGAAATTAGGAGGTTCTTTTTATTCTTCACGCCAACTGTGCAGATGTTTACTACCTTAAGTATTTTATTTCTTTTTTGCCATAATGCTCATTTTACAGAATTGGCAAATTGTTTTTTTGTTTTTTTTAAGCTTATCAATGTTAAGGACACTTTAGAGTAAGCACTTTGTACACATGGAGCATATACTGTATGTGATGTTTAGAAAGAGTATTCAGATTTTATATCTTTTGCTAAATCAAGTTTGTGATTTACATGTGACTACAGAACAGCATTGTGATCTCTTATCAGCAAGAAAATCAAATTTGAGGAATTGTCATAATAATCAAGCTTTGATTTTGTTATATAGAGTTTATGTTTATAAAACAAAAAAAAACATATTTCACACTAACAGAATACTAGATTGATATGCTGTTATAGGGTATTTAATGTTTCCTATAGTTTATAGACACTTAAACCAGATAAAGCCTTTATGAAGTCATATTAGATCTATGTTGTGTGATAAGGTTGTTTTTTAACTTCATGTTCTTTTTGTGTCTTAGTGTGTGATTTCAGCTTTTTTATGAATAGCAGAGTACCTAATGATAGAGGTGAATTGTTTAGCAACGATACATCCTGGCCTGCAGCTTTTGTTTAAGGCCGTCTTTTGTCACTCTCTCGTGTCTGGAAGTAATTTTGCTGGAATTTGTGGTGGTCAGTTAATGTTTATGATCCTATCAGCATCCAAACCCTGTGTTATTCATCTTGGTAAGAAAATTGTTGATCCTCGACCTCAATTCTGACTTAAGTAAAAGCTGTTTTTTGTTCTTTATGATTTTCCCTGCCTCTATCTTTTATCCCACTTGGCTCCTTCCATGTGTCATTCAGACCCATAAAACTGGAGACATGCCACAAATGATGAAATATTTACAGTGCAGTTTAAGTGGAAATGTTTTGCTATTCTGACTTCATTTATTAATTTCACTCTATTGTATTTGTTACTTTTTTCAGTTTTCATCTTTGTACCACCTTCATATTTTCAACAGAGCCAATGTTCCTGACTGCTGCTTTTTCGTAGGGCCAAGAAAAGTGTTTATCCTTAAGTATTTGTGTTTTCTTCTTTTTGGTGTTGTATGTGCTATCAATAAGTTCTCAATAAAGTAAGTATAATGACAGTGTATACTTTTTTGACAGTAATTTCACTTATTTTCAACAAACCTGTGGGGGTAGTAACTAAACACTAACTTAGCTCATGAAGCATATATTATATATATATATATATATATATATATATATATATATA